ACGAGTAATACGAGGATATGATACAGTATTGTCACTTGCTCGCTTCAACAACTGGTGGAGAACGAGTTTGGCACCGCGCCAAACGCAGCCGCACTGACACGCCCAACCGTCCGCAGCGAACTACACTATATTCCCATGCCAATGCGACTTTTAACCGAATGAATAAATCCAACCAGTTCATTGCTTATAAAGCTAACCACCCGTTCATAATCTCTTTTCACCCTCTGTAATACAAAAAGCGAGGGAGTTCAAGACAAAAAGGCTGTACATATTCAAGACATTACAGACACAAAATGTCACAACGATAGTTGTGCTTGTTTTAGTCAGCGCGGCCAGCATAGGTCAGTTCAAAAATCCTGTCCACGCTTATCGTATGGGCGGAGTCAACTAAGCCTTCGCATCCTTCACATTTGGCTGCGAAAGATGGGAGAGATTCCAGGTCCCCACTCACGTATTCGATTAGCATTGAACCCACGAATGAAAATTTTCAAGGCTTCAACTATTGGAACATTTTCAGGGAAACTTATACAGCGCCGTGGTGGGAAAGAAAATTTCGTTGGTGCGCTAGGGACTTGCTCAAGTCTGTAAAAGACCAAGCTGGCAGCGATCAAAAGACTTCTCGGCACTCAATCTCCAAGCAAGCATCTTTTGTGCTTCTCTTAGAATGAACATACCAGGTTAAATGAACCATATCGGGTCCATCAGACGGATTTACACCTAGTTTGTCGAGTTCACGGGTCATCGTTGTGATCTGAAAACAAGGCTGAGATTTTTTAAAAGTGGAAATAAAAAAGATCTATTTGGGGTGAGTCACCATCACCTTTCTTGCTGCATTTTCTATCTCTTCATGACGAGTCATAAACGCTGGACTGAATGGATCGTGGAGTTCTTTATGTTCCTCGACAATTTTCGTGATCTCCCTTCGCCGGCGTACTCTCTGAAGAAAATAGGTGCTTTTTCTCATAACGATTAAAGAGGTTCATATCAATTGAGAAAACTAGGGATGCAACTTATATAGTTTTCTTGCTTCGGACCTGAGGCGTGTCAGGGGCTGGGTTCAGCGCGGAACCAGCCTGCTTTCCACCAACTGTCGAAGGGGGAAGGACAACTGTTGGTCAGTTAGCTTCACCACCCCCTACTTACATAACATAGCATCTACAGCGAGAAAAAGACGTATCTGAGTTCCATTAAGGTCAGACAGCCATATCCTGACGGGCGAGGACGGTTGAACGCAGTGCTTTTTCGCATTGTGCCTCTGTAAAAAGGAGAACAGAGGAGAGAGCATCTTTTAGGTGCAGGAAACTCGCGAGAATTGTCGTATCATGGTAGCGGAGGCTAGCCTGAGCTGCTTGAAAAAGTTTGATGAAAGTAACGATAAGGAGGTTCAAGCAAGAAACTTCTGGAGAATTTTAGAAATATGAAACTTCAGGGGTATCGGCTACTTTGGAACACCCAATTGTTTGCTGTCAACTCCAATAAGTGCATCACATGAGTAATGAAGAAATCAATCCCTCTTTTAGAACCGACTCCATTACGAAGAGCCGATTCATTGTTTATTCGAGCTGCGTTCATACCTCGCAACTTAGTCGAGCGAATTGCGAGTCGCGCGATTCGGGAATCGCGCTCCTCCGCTAATCATTGGACCCTTCGACCGTTCGGAATGATTTTTATCCTGACTGTAACTCAATTAGCAGCCGCTGCGGTCTCTAGCTGTGGAGTGCCGTTAATCGCAGTAGCACAGTTCCCAAACCGTGCGATTCCCGCGAACAAATGGCCTTGAGT